AGTCGTGGTCTTGTGTGTCTGAATAGTGTTTTGAACCCCCTGGTTTACCTCCATGTCATGGATATTCCTGCTCAGTTCCAACAGCTGCTTCAGTGGTTTCGTCAGACATTTACTCGTTTGTTTGTGTCAGAATGGCAGTGTACCCGTGGAACAAACAGTGACCACAACAATATCTTAACAGTAAATAATGACTTTGACTTTGTCTTTTAGAGTAGAGTGTAAAGACTGTTTTACGTATTATACTGTCTATACTATCTTTTTCGGGATAACAGTTTTGGCTCAAATGGGTTTATAAATAAAAAAGCTTTGTTTCTGTGTTTGTTGTTCTTCTGTTGCCCTGCATCGAAAATTGCATTATTGAAAATTGCATTATTCAAATCCTTTACAGCAACATTTTTTTAGTCACATTGAAAATATAAACAACCACTGAGACATGACTATAAATGCGTAGGGGATTGGAGGCAAGACAACAGAAACTAAAGAGTAGATAAGAAAGCTAAGGTGATCTCAACAAATGCTAAACAGAGGAATAGCTATAGTAACTAACACAAGGAACTGCTTCTTAACCTGCCATAGAAATGCTGGGTCACAGACCCAGGACCGTGACACTTTTAATTTAAGCAAAGATCAGGAAAGAGCGCTGGCAGATTAGTATCATTTATTTTATGTTCACTGACACAGTTTTCAGGTTAGTAACCACTTTTCTTTAGATTTGTGTAGGTTATGTGTACAGCAAAATAATTTCCCATAAAAAACATCTGCTGGATTATTACGTTTGTATAGCAGTAGAACAGTGTTGGTGAAATTTAATCAACATTAACTTTTGTTTCATGCCTACTATAAGTCAGCTTTGCAGTGAACATGTGATTCATATTTGACATGAGATACACAATATTTGGCTTTTAGTTTGCTCTGGAATTCTAATGTATAGTATTTGATGTATACTGCTCTAAGCAAGGGCACACACACACACACACACACACACACACACACACACACACAC